ATAAATCTTTAGTTCGGAATATCCTTTCAGATAGGAGATAGTCTGTCGGCACTCTACCTCTATTCGTGCGTCAACTCTCACAAATGTGTTAGCGTAGCATTCTAAGGTTAAATTTGGCCAGCATTTTGTGCAACGAGTTCTACGGTCACGATTGCCTTCAAACTTGCAGATGTAACACTAGAGAGCTCTGAGGCTTATTTGCTGAAGTTAGGGGAAAATCTGTCGTGGGATTTCAAAGTTATTTACATTTTTCGTAAAAATGCGGTTTTAATTAAATGCGGATATCTCAAAGGTTTTTACATCAACAAGAAAACAAATAACATTTCCTTAAAGCTCCATCATTATTTATTTGCTCTGCTAAAAATCATAGGCATCGGTTGAATCTTTCATTCTGAAAAACGCAAATCAAAAACATAACCAACACGCATATAAATAGGCTCGGGCCACCTTGAGCCTAGAACTTAGAAATGCAGTATCACTAGAATCCTTTAAGAATAATTATCGAAATATCTTAGGGCCTGTTTACATGGAGGTGGTGAGGTAACCCACTTAGATGGGGTAACCCGCCTGTCCATGTAATCTCTCGTTTTAATTTGATCACGTTTAGGTGGGGTGACCTGCCAAGGCAGGCAGCCCGATTTGCCAGACCGGGTAACCCTCTCAACCGGGGCCAAATTTTGCCATGTAAACGTTCAAGGTGGGGTAACCCGCCTTGCCGGGGTCTGATTCGTGAAACATCAATGCAAAATTCACTTTGGCGGTGTCTTTGCATCGAATAATCATTATTAAAGGTAACAATAGAAAGCCACAGCACTGAAGGTTGCAGCAAGAACAGCAACTTGAGTGTAGAAGAGCATTAATCACCAAAACAAGTGGCTTGCCAGCATTTTTCTTGTTTTCGTGCTTAGCAACCATTCAGTAATCTTGAGAAAGTGCACCCCGGGATGGCGGGGTTGCAAGATTGCATGTAAAGAAGGGTTGTTTTTCTACCCCACTTAAGCGGGTTACCTCACCTGCCTGGGGTTCCCCACCTCCTTGTAAACAGGCCCTTATATAAAGAGCAGCAGGAATTACACCATTTCATTGTTTAATCATATTCTTGTATATATTTCACTAGCCATATCATTAGCTCTTATACTCGTTTATATTAATGTAGAACTTCTATATTTCCTTAGTTTTATTTATTTTGTACTATACTTTGTATATTTGCAATCTTGTGTTTGTTGTAATTTTAATTAAGATAGAGGGCCACAAGCTTACTAGTTTCAATCTGTAACTATTCCGTGCTACCCTCTTTAAATAACGTGTATTATTATTATTATTATTATTATTATTTTTATTATTATAAGTAAGGTTATTATTACAAGTAAGGAACAGAAAATTACACAACTAAAGAAAGGAGTGAAAAATGAGGCTCAGCCAGGAATCGAACATGGGTCTCCAGATAACCGGTCGGATGCCTAAACCACTCGGCCGCTGAACCA